TTCTATTTGATACTAGATGATTTGCATCTACACCCATGTTCGAGTGTATGTAACCGACAAGCTCCCTCTTTATGACTCAGTTGCATGCCAATGTCTGAATCTCAGAGAATGATTTTCCCTTGCACTCAGTGACATTTTCACCCCATTTCTTTTTATTTTTGCTTCTTTTAATTACCTAAAGTGGTCGCTAAGGTGGTACCCATGACATACCATACCATTTCAAATATATCGTTTTGAGTATGGATATGAGGTTTTCCAGTGTGTTTGTTTGATGTTTAATGGTGGATTGCTTTGCATCAGTTGTAGCACCTCCCACGTTGTAGATGGTAGGATTGTTCAGTAGCATCTCGTTTCCGTTGATCGGATTCGTCGCTCTAATATAAAATAAATAAATAAGGACGATGCACACAACAGTGTGATGTATGATTTCAGACAGATGCCCTTGATGTTTTTCCAGCAGGCTTTAGTTTTGCGATAGCTGACACTATACAGCTCATGGTAATTTTATTCTGGCGATATCTTCGCTGGTTTTTGAACAAAGATATTTCAATTTTTAGCTGCCCAGTTTTCACTTTCCGGTCTCGACAGAGTCCAAATGCGACTCCGCGTCTTTGTGGGTGATAAATTCTTTTCCACCCTACAATCTCTTTCTCATAGACGAAAAGTAGCAAGCCTCTCCCGCTTTTCGTTATTTCGATGGAAGTGCTCAGATGAAATACATTCTTAGATCCAGTAGTTCTAAATTTCACGGCTAAGACCACCATGCTACTCACATTGTCGCGAACCACCCACATTCCGTCCGTGTTCCACTGGTGGGAAGTAAGTTCACCTCGAACAGTTTCTTCCTGCGACTGGCTACTATGTGGGACCGACTTCCAAGATTTTCTTTTTCTGATCACTCACAATCTTAAACTGTCCAAGTCTAATATTAACTGTTATCTTGCCCACATATCTGCCTAAACTGTTCCTCTTACTTTGTAATCCTCTATATCGAGAGGCTCTCGGGCCTTGTACAGAATGGATATCACTTGTAAAAACAAAAAAACAAAAATAAAACTTTAAACTAGCTATCGATTTTAATCCTTCTTGGAAACTCTTTTTCAATTTTAATCATGAATTTGATATTTTCGGCATTAAATACCATTCCTTTACCTGAAGGATATTTCATCCAGGTCCTTTACTAGACTGATGCATTCTTCTTTTCTTTTCTAACCAGATCATGTGCTCTGTAAAAAAAGAACCGTGATGTTGCAACATTCGATGCTGATACTGCTCTGATGTTCCCCTAACGGATCAAACATGATGCCTTCAAAGAAAATATTAAAACGCGGAGGTGTCAAAAGAAAACCTTGGCGTACATCGCCGGATATTTGGAAGCACTTTACTATGGAGCCAAGGAAAATTACTGAGCGGCTGGACTTATCAAATGTATCATAAATAGTACGAATCAAATTCTTAACCATCTTCTTCCGACTTGGGCATGATAATAAAATACATCCGATACCAAGGCCTCTAATCGGAAGATTTTGAGGGGCCGTGAAACCACCTCTTAATTGCTATTGTTTACAAGTCCACTTTGATCCGGGGTGGTAGCAATACATTTTTGTATGTACCCCCATTAGGTGACGTAAAAAAGCAGCATATCACGAAGAAAAAGGCTCATAAATCAACGAAAACAAAGTTTTGTCTCAATATGTTGTTATTAATTGAAAGCTAAAGCATTAAATTTATTACTTACAGTAAGTAACATATTCTGGTGTCTTTCAGATAGAAATTATATAGATTGAATGTCAAATATATGCTCGATTTTTCTTTAATTTTCTTAAAAGCGGCCATTTTCTTAAATTTTAAGAAATTTGTAAACGAAAAAAAAATTTTGATTTTAAACTTCTTCCTAAAATAAATTTATATATTTTTGCCCGTTATTTGAGTAAAATTAGAAAATTTAAAGTTAAATTAATCTGATACGAAACAAACAGTACTTTACTTTATAGCATAACAATTGGTATCCAAACATTTTTAACGATGTGTCTGAATTTATCAAAGAAATCGATTGTGACGAGGTGATGACAGACTACTATATATGATCAAAATTGACAATTTTTGTAAAGTAAGCGAACGCAGTTTTTCGTTTTTAACTAGTACTTTTTAAATATTAACATTTTTATTCAGCAATTATGCAATATCTATTTTTTATTTCATACTTTCTTAATTAAATAATTGTTTAAATTTTTTAAGGATTGCGTCATGTATATATTTTCATACGTAGAAATTATGAACGTTTTTCAATATTTTTTTTAAAATTATTTTAAAAATATTCTGGTACAAACGATTGTTATGTGCTTTTCAAATTTCGATTCGTAAATTTATTTTTCATTAACGTTATCATTGCATTACGTGCTTAAAAGCAATAAAGAAATTTAAACGATTTTTGAATTATTAAGAAGTTAATGTAAAAAAAATTTAAAAAATGGAAAACAATTTGTAAAAAATACATTATTCATCGAAAATATTTTATTTCTTTCACAAAATAATGTTCTTAATATAAAGTATTTACAAAGCAGGTGAAAGCTTTTTTCTAATTAATTAATGTTATACTTTTTAGATTTTTGTTTTTATAATTCAGAGCAGAATTACTATGAAATCAGTAACTGGTTTAAATAAAAATACTGGTGATTTACTTGCTATAAAGAGTCCTGTTTATAACTAATAAAAACAAATCCTGCGCTTAAAGATGTAATTTCAAAATTTCATGAAAATATGTAAGTAGGGTTGAAAGATGTTAAATGATCTCTTTTTAACAAGATTTTCGAAAAAAATTTCAAAAATAATTTCATTCATTTCTGAATAAATCCTGAAAGTTTCATTAAAATCCGACAATTATTTTATTTTTGCAAGAATTACCTAAATTAACGTGTTTTCCTCGCAAAATAAAACAAACCTTTTTTCTCTCTTACTGCGCTGTCGTAAAAAAAAAAAATTTTTAACCAAAATTTTCTACGTGCTAGAAAGGAGTAAAAATATTTAAAAAATAATTAAAAAATACTTTTGTCTTTCATCTTCATAACAACATACACATATTGAGACAAAACTTTGTTTTCCTTGATTTATGGACCTTTATTCATCGTGATATACTGCTTTTTTTCCGTGACCTAATGGAGGTGCCTACATTTTAAAAAAAAATTATTATCAGCCATATATTTGACTCTCGACAAAAAACTCTCTTTACATAAATACGTCAATGAAACCTCATCTATAAACTGATTTCTTACAAAGAATACATATTCTAATCATACGAACCTATCCTAACTAACTTGTCAGCATTAATTAGCCCACTGAAGTTGATATGCCGTAAAACAAAATAAACCAAACCCATCTTATGCAATGCCACATGTTACACTGTCAAATAATCTTTAGAATTCTCGAAGACGTGGTCATGTTTTTTTTTATTATTTGTGTGTGTTGCGAATATTTTTGTATAGAAGCTACATATTGAATATCTGTAATGTGGTGCTTCTTCCATGTCGAAATCCAATAAATTTTTCAGCAATGATTTATTCTGCTTACGCGTCAGTCCGTTGAGGATGATTATAAGATTCCCCCAATTTGGATTTATCAACCAGCTACCTAATTATGTATGCCGACTGACACATGGGAAAAATTCATTTGGGAAATCTGTGATGTGAAATTATATTTTGCCACATTTCCTAGATTTAAAACTCCGATTGAGATTCCTAGATTTAAAATTTTGACTTTCATCTGGACTCGAACCACGACAAGAAACGCCGTTCAGAAATCAGAAAAAAAAGATTCTACTCTCTAACCCAGCCTCATTGACGTGTTTGTGCACGTATGTTAGTCATTATGTACACGCTTATGTGGGCACGTAGCCGAGTGGGTAGAACGTTCGCTTTTCGACGAGGACCGATTTGTCAGGAAGGTGACGTCCTGGTGTTCTCGGTATGAAGGAGGCGATCCTAGCGTGTGGCACCTTTGGAAAGTGCTTGACACAGGCCTTGTGAGTGAAACCGATGGTCAAGTTAGCATGAAGAAACATGTCATCGTGACTGAGGATTTGAGCGTGCTTGTCTTGTTCAGACTGTTGATCGCGCTAGATAAACGCTCTATCCCAGAAATTGTCATAAAGAAAATCTATAGTATAAACCATGGGTGTGCTCCTTGGGTGTTGAACAGATACAAATACGGGCGTCTGCAATGGGATTAGATAGCCACCCTAGTAGAAGGGCATCTTCGGATACGAGTGGCCAGGGTTCATGTATACATTGATTGCATATTTGTGTATGCTTGATTAAGGATTGGTTTGTATATAACATTTATTTTACATTATTCGGACTATTTTCCTGATCTTTGTCGCCATAATTATGAAAACAACATTTCGACCGTTGTACGCTCTGGCCTTCTTCAGGTGGTTGGAATGTTGACCTGAACCCTTTAATTTGCTCACTGGGGTAGACTGTTTTCGTTCCACGTGCCATGTTGAATTGATGTCAGTTATCAGTTATCTCCTGTTAATTCCCTCTAAAAGTTCTCCACTGCCTTAACCTTAACTTGAGGACACATGGCACAGTGGATAAAGACGTTGGTTAGACCCAGTGACAGGATCCAAAGAGTGTGAGTTCAATACCCGGTTAAGGCAGTGGAGAACTTTCAGAGGGAAATTAACAGGTGATAACTGACATCTATTAAACATGGCACGTGGAACTAGAACAGTCTACCTTAGTCAGCGAAATGAAGGCTTCAGTTCGACATTCCAACAACCTAAAGAAGGTACAACGGCCGAAACGTTGTAATAAATATGGCGACAAAGATGAGGACAATAGTCGAATAATGTAAAATAGATATAAGACTTCATCTAAAAGAAATATCAACAGATGGTTTGTATATATTTTTTTGATTTTGTATGCGTGATTGTGTGTATTTTGTATTTTCATAAGAGTGTCTATGTGAACGTCATTATGTGTGTATGTGTTTTAGAATCACTAAAAGCAACCGCCCGGCCATTTAGAGAAAAAATGGATATTTAGAGACAAAACATTATTCATAGAAAGACGTAAAAGCATGCAAGCAAACAGATAGATAGATAGATAGATAGATAGATAGATAGATAGATAGATAGATAGATAGATAGATGCAACATATGTGACTATCTTATTCGCTGAATACCCACAGAGGTGAAGAGACAGGTAAATAGAATATAAATAAAGATAAAAACTGCGAGCCAAACGTAAATAAAAAAAAAACAATTCTTATCCTCATAAAGTACAGTGAAGGCTACGGTCAAACCTACTTCCATCATTTGACTCGACTGTCAAATTCTTGTTTTAAAATGGCCATTCTCCTGCTAAATGAACAAATAAAGACAAACTGGAAAGGGTGAACTGGCAGATTTGAAAGAAAGTCGGAATAGAGGTGAGCATGTAATTGTGAAGGAATGAGAGAGGAAGAGAACATAAAAGGAGGAACATGAAAGGAGAAAAAAAATGACAAAGAAAACGAAAGAAAGAATTAGGAAATCGTGGAGATGACGTAGAAGGGACAAGAGTTGGGCGTTTCCATCTGGAAACATCCCACTTGGAATAACATAGAGGGGTTCGAACTGTCATGGCCGCCGGGCTGTCAAGGATCTTGAAATCCAGAAATCTCATGAGATGTCGCCCCTGTCAAAGTCAGATACATTGCTCGCATGATGGTGGGCAGAATTGCATGGGAATAAATATTTTAAAGAATGTTTTATTTTACAGCACACATACGCACAGACACAGACTCTCTCTCTCTCTCTCTCTCTCTCTCTCTCTCTATATATATATATATATATATATATATATATATATATATATATATATATATTCACTCTCCTCCCTCGCTCTTTTAAATAATACATACTCATATAATTATATATTTCTAAAACCAAACACATACTCACAAACACACATGGTTTTGATAATTCATTTGTTTTATAAGGGTTATCATTCTATTTCAGGATATTTAAAGCCGGAATATATTTTTGGCTTGTAAGAATTTTTTCGAGATAATAAACATTTTCTTTATACAATTTATACAATACAACTGCAAAGCCGAGATTGATTCATAGCATACCTAAGGGTACTTAACCGTGTGTAAATGTAACAAAGACGAATGGAATTTGAACTCTGCTCTCTATTTTCGGATTCCCAGCCGTTATCCATTACTTCACACGCACACTCTGGCTTTTAACACCTCGTATTCCCGAGCGGTCACCCGTCTAGATATTGACAAGGCACGATGTTGTTGAACTTCGGTGATTGGAGAGAACTAGTCTTTCAGCGTCATAAGGCCGTTGATAGATACATGCATTAAAACACATACTCGTCTGCAGTTGTCCTTGCTTCGCATATTGCTGACATATTTGGTCTGATGTTCCTGATATATATTTAGAGATTCTTGATAAAATAAAAAGAAGAAACTGCAATATTATTGGCCCTGACATGGCATTGCGGTTTCAGTTCCTTTCCACCCGCCGTAACGTAGCTTTCCTGTGCCTTTTGTATAAATACTTTCACGGCAATTGTCCTGATTAACTTTCCGCTATGATGTCTCGACTTTATGAATTTGAGTGCAGTGCTAGATTGGCGGTAAGGTCTCATCATTTGACAATTAAAATGAATAAATGTAACCGTAATTTCTATGTTAACATTATTGCACTTCTCGCTTGTGAGGCTCTCTTTCGGCTTCTTCCTTCCCAGTCAACATTTATCTTCAAAAAATCAAATGCAATGTTAATCGTTATCTTCTGTCTTAATTCTTGTTCTTTTATTACTCTCTCTCCTTAATAGTAATTTTTCTCGTATTCTGTAACACCCAGTAACTCCTTGCTTCTTAGGGGCTTTATTGTCTTGCTTCGGGCGAAATGGTTAAAAAAATGCATTTATACGTACACACCAAGAAGAATTGTTCATTAATATTATCTTATTACTACATAAAACTCTGAACTTTGTATCGTGTGTGTTTGTCAGAAGTCATATATAGAGACAGGCGAAAAGAAAGGTATAAATAAGTCATATATAGAGAGTTGCGAAAAGAAAGATATAAATTTATGATCGTGTAGGAAGTGAGCGATGGAACCAATTTTCTTACGAGAAAGTGTATAAAACACGAAATCCTGCACAAAATACTATACGCACATCATGGTCCACGTCACTCACGCTTGTGAACTTCAAGATCTCATGCTAAAAGCGACAGCGATGACAAACTTCAAAGACACCGATTCAGACTATGGCAACACCGTCAACAGTAAGAAACAAAGTCTATCTCTTGTATCCTCATTACTATGAACCACATACGTCTTAACTTTTCGCACTTACACACACATATATTAGGTTGGTGCAAAAATAATGACGTAATAATGTCGTTTTTTTTGACGTGAAAAGTACGTCAAAAACGACATTATTATAATTTTTGCACCAACCTAATTTCTTTATTCATTGTTTCTCACATACGTAAACAAAGAGAATTTTTATATTTTATTTCAGAATTCTATTAACCCAAACAAAAAGACATTGCCTTCAATTTATGACCAATTGCTTGTATTCTTGTCGTTATATTAAATTAATATTCATTTTGTTGAAACTATGTTGTCTTCTTTACTGAATTTTATCTTTCAATGTCTATTATGTCTGATCAGGAGCCGTTCTAATGTTCGAATGTTTGCTTTAATTTCTGGTGAAAATAAAGACAAAAATTGTCCAACATTTGGATATATTTTTTATTAATTTGTTCCTAAGGTTTCGGCTTAAACAACATTTCTTAGAAAAACTTAGCCATGTACATAATATTAGACAGATTAATTGATAACACATTAATACTCACGCATACACACAGTAAAAAGAACCTTCAGATATTGGAGGCCATCTACATTAAAAAGAAAGCAAGCCACACTCAACAAAATTATATTTCAAACTAGTCACAACACATTACATTGCATCAACACTTTGGTTTTAGTTGTAATACTTCGCTCTATTGCGTGGTATGACGTCATAGAACCGTATATGGAAGTTAAAATCTGCGACTGCTATTCCGTGGCGTTTACCGTTGCATAGCAACCTTCTATGTCAAAATAACAATATATCATCTTTGACGGGAGATATCTTTGTTTCATTTCTGTATATCCACTCTGAGGTTGGCCCGTGTGAGCTGAAAGCTTAGGCCCAAATAAATAAATAAATTTCCAAATGTTGTACAATTTTCGTCTTTATTTTCAAAAGAATTTAAAGCAAACATTCGAGCATTAGAATGGCTCATGATCAGACAAAATATACACTCATGTTGTTATATTTTAATAATAAGTATATATATATATATATATATATATGGTATAAATGACAATTATATGGGAAAAAAATCTTATATTTTGCCGACGCGTTTCGTCTTCCGACTTTTTCAAGGCAAAAATGAAATCGAAATGCCTTGAAAAAGTCGGAAACGCGTCGGCAAAATCTAAGATTTTTTTTCCAGTTGTGATTTTATACCAATCTGTATTATCCACAGAATTGATCTGCGAATTTAACTATAACAATATATATATATATAATTATTATTAAATATAACAGGCAATATGAATGATGAAAATTTCTCAGACTAACACACTTCACTAAGTCTACGCAAACATCAGAATTTTGTTTTGGAATACCATTTTTGTGGGTCCGTTAACTTTTCAGCGCCCACTTCTATATTAGAGGATGTGAAAACGAGTTCACAGAAACGGTCAGATTAGAAAAATATCTACCTAAATATCGGTGTTTCCTTTTTCTCTAGATCGGTCTTTTTTCTGTTAGCTTTTTTATGATTAGAAAATGTGTGATGCCTGCAAAACTATCCGCCTTTCCTCTTTAATTCCACCGTTGTTGTAGTGGAAAGCAGGATGGCGAAAAAGTGCACGAAAGAAGAATAAAAAAAAAATAAAAGCCAAATAAATAAAGCAAAATGAATACAACCACAACAGCTGCACATTGTTCGTTGACTGATCCATCAGCGGTGAACAGTGCTTGAAATGGGTGGCGAGGAAAGAAACATGTCGCTGCTGAGAACGTGGAAAATGCGCTGAGCTTGTCCAATAAGGCGCACAGCGGTATTGACTGGGCAGCATACACGTGAGTGAACTTGAGTCTCAGAAAAACATGCAACGGGAAATCAAAAGAGATGGAAAACGACCACCTGCATTACACCACGTCACACACGGGACCTGGTATGGAAACAGCATAACTCAAATGACGGCACCCGTAAGAAACAAGAAAAAAAAAAAAACTTGAAAAACATATTCAGAATTCCTATTTTTGAAGAAACTCTTTTGTAAGGAAATACTTTCAGTAATTCTCGTGTGAACTACGAGACTGCGATGAAAAGTTCTCAGCTTGGCTAAATAGTAATTAAAAAAACAAAAAAAGATGTTTGGACATCTTTGATATATTAGTTCAGGACTGAACACCTTCGTCTATCATAGCTCAGTTTTCTTCTTCTTCTTCTTCTTCTTCTTCTTCTTTTGCTATGTGCCTTGTCATTCAGGACGTAGAGAATCATGGCTCTCCACAAATTCTCTTGTGGCTCTTACCAGTTGTTCTTTCTTTTGCTAAAGCTGTCGACAACGTTCCACAATCCATTTACACAAGCTCACCACCAAAATAGCTCACTGCCTTCCCCTATCTCTCTGGCGGTCAACATGCCCTGTGAGGATTACGTTTTCTAGGCCCTTTTTCTTCATTATGTGTGCAAGGAATTTCATTTGTCTTTTGATGATTTTGAATAAAAGTGTCTTTGAGTTTTCATTTCCTTTGAGACTTCCTTTTTAATTACTCGCTTTGTCCATGGAATTTTCTGCATCCTTCTGGAGAACAGCATTTCTACTGCTTCTAGATTCTTTCCCGTCCTTGAAGAGATTTTCTAGCATTCACAGCCATATATGAGAGTGGGTATCACGTAGAACTGCGGAACTTATTTCTTTGTTTCTAATGATGTTTTTTTTTCCGTTTTTCAGCATCATGGATTGCCTCTTTCGCTGGACCAATGCTTGTTCGGATTTCAGTGTCACATCCTAGGTTAAAATATTTCTGAACGTCGTATTACCGTGGGATTCCTTGTGTATTATTTTCTGTAGTTATACTATTGTTAGTAATCATCATCTTTTAGTTATTTTAGCTTCTCTTGCATGAAAACTTTATTGCCAAATAGTTCGGCTTTGGACGGCCCTATTCTCTTAGGTATCATGAAACGATTGAAGTATCTCTTGGTTTCCGCCCTCTCGTGACCGAGGCTGCTGATCTGTTCTTCTGATCGCATTGCGAGTGGCTGTTAGTGGTCTGGAAATGTGTTAGCTATTAGTGATGGGAATTTCTCATATAATGGATAACTCTAAGCCAGAAAAATAATAGAATGATAAATTACAGGGAAATACATCTAGATTTCATTTTAAGAAAAGTAAAAAAAATTAAGATGATTTTCGCTGTATCCCTCGTTATTGGTTAGAGTTCAGAAGAAACCAATAAAGAAGAATGATGAAATTTGTGAAAGAATCGAAAGAAACCAAAGACAAGTGAGAATACTGATTAAAATGCACGAGTATTGAAGGACAGGTTGTCACTAGATCTACCCTGACAGATATGATAGAGATAAAAGTAATAATCGTAATCAGATTTAACCGTCTCATAAATATGGAAAGTGGTGAAAGCAGAGCGACCTGAAGAAGAGAAACAGCTACACAAATGGATAAGAAAGCAATAGTACCTGAATAGATGAAGAGAGTAATATCGACTATGATTTTAAAAGTAACAACAGACCGATAACATGTCTACATATGATACGGAAAATTTTAACGCTGCTGAATAAAAACTTATTACTTCTCAGATATCATTATTTTTTCCAGGGGAGTAGAAATAATGCCGAAATGTGTTTTGGAAACAGTGAATATTAAACCAACTAAAATATAAAGAATTTACTCAAAATATGCAATAATCAAATATAATCAATGCAATATACCCGACGTAAAAGAGGATAAGAACGGATCAGAGAATGGAAAAGACAGCCACTATGAATAGTAATACAAGAAAGAGAAAGAATATTATAAAGGGTTTACGTTTTCATCTTTCTCTCATAAGAGAGAGAACGAACGACGAATTAAAAGACTAAAATAAAGTGGAGGCGATGAGGATAATTAACACACACAGACACACACACAACACACACACACACACATATATATATATATATATATGTCAAAGTATATAATTGGTATATACGGAATGAATTCCAATAACCAACAATTACTATTCTTAAAAGAGTGCTCAATACAAAGTAGAGCAGATATAATTATTTTTATAAAAAAAATTATAACATAAGTATGTTATACTTATGTTATAATTTTTTTTTATAATATATATATATATATATATATATATATATATATATATATTATCATTTGCTCAGTTCTTCATTGAGCTATCTCTTGATCTATATCCTCTTTTGAATTATCCACACACACACACACACACACACACACACACACACATATATATATATATATATATATATATATATATATATATATATATATATATATACTCCGTTTGTAAATAATACGTGAATCCTAATACTATAAAATATTATTACTGATAATAAAAGATCTCAATGTATTTATTATAACAAAGCATATAAATTACATAGATCAAATATTCAAAGATACCTCATTCGAATAGCAATTGAGACCCACAAGATTGTGTGTCGAAAGAGCTATTCGAATGAGGCACTTTGGGAAATTTATTCTATCTATCTATTCTATCTATCTATCTATATCTATATATATATATATATATATATATATATATATATATATATAGATAGATAGATAGATAGATAGATAGATAGATAGAGCGGGGAGAGACAGACAATACGAGTAAAAGATTTGTCACTTAGCTAATGCAAGTTGGGATACGAAAGTCGTTCAAAACGTTCTAACCACACCCAGAAAGAAGGCCCCTAGCTGAACATATTTAGTGTAGTAACGCATTACAAATTGTTATGAAACTAGAAAAAAACTAATTCAGATCTCTCTCTTAATTTCTGTGAAGGTGATGCCAATACAAATGTGTGAGGTGTGAGACAAGTCGGAAAATGGCCACAACACAGGCCCGCATAATAATAATGTATCTGCAAAAAAGAAATGTATGACTCAAAAGAAATCCATGTTAACATGATACAGTCAGTTACTTGGGACTCCATTCATATACAATTAGTAGAAGCTGCGGAATTCAAGCAGGGCAAGGGGGCAGCACTGAAGATGGCTCTCGTTTGATGTCGTCCAAAACCGCAATCACTGATGAACAAGTTGATGCCATTCACCAGATTTTTTCTTGGGGGGTTGACGGAAATCTTACTGTCGAGAAATGAGTCCATAAGTATTAGTTATGATTCACTCCAAACTGTTTTAATTGAGATCTTGAGGATGAGCAATATGTCTGCAAGATGGCTCCCAAGAATGCTATCCCCAGAGCATAAACTGAAAAGGGTTGACCTTTCCAGGACACTTCTGACTCCATTCCAGGCTGACGCAGGTAATTTCTACCGCAAATTAGTAATTCAACTTGGGTTCGCTATTTGGCACCTGAATCAAAGATTCAAAGCAAACTGTGGAAACACTCTGGTTTTCCACGCCCGAAGAATTCCAAGCAGGAAACATCTGTTGGCAAATGTGATGACTGCTGTTTTTTTATTTTGAATGCGGAATCATGATAGTCTGGAAAACGGAAGACATATATATATATATATATATATATATATATATATATATATATATATATATATATATACAGGTAATAGTAATATTAATGAGCAGTACTATACATCAGAATTAAGACAAGTGAAAGAAGCAATCGAGTCGAGACGCAGAGGAAATCTAAGGGAAGGATAATGTTGCAGTAGCTAAAGCATCCAACTGCTTTGACTTGATACTCCATCCTCCTTATTCACCAGACATAGCTCCATCTGACTTCTTCCTGTTTCCTAAATTCAAATCTCACCTGCGTGGTCACCGTTTTGAAAACAAGATGAGGTCATATGTATTGTGGAGGTGATTTTGGAGGACCAAGACGCTATCTTCTTCCGTGATGGGATTGCAATGTGTAAGTGTTATGGGATATTACCCATAATAATAATAATGGACTAATCGATAATAAATACTGCGCCTCAGGAGTAGGCAAGGAGTCAGTATTTCAAAGGGAGTCAGTAGTTCAAGTCGAGTCAAGAGACGAGGCAGTCTGAAACAGACTGCAAGACATTGGAATAGTGATACTGGTCGGGGCGACATTGTTCTCTCTACTAAACCTGATTGTTCGTACTAACACTTTCTACTTCTCTGTATATATTCCTGTTTGTAATTATCTGTGTTATTCCATACCTGTGTTCGAGTTCTTCTTTATTGGTTCTACCTTGGACTATCACCCGGGGTACAAGGAACCGGACCATAACAGTAAACCTCGTTGAACCAAGTGCATTGGTGTGAAGGGGACTATATTGTCTTGTTTCTGCAAATCCTTCTGAGTGAGTTCGAAGATCTTTTTAACGACCCTCGTCCGTTGAGAAAGTCATTTTTTTAATAACTGGATGATAATTTGATAATGGAAGCAAATTAAAGAATGAGAACTTAATATAACAAAACACTTTCCGAGATCAAAATAAAAGATATTCTTCTTAAACTGCAGAAGAGAAGAATCAAACATTCGAGACCAAAATGAAAAACAACATCGGTTGAAATTATTATTCATCACACCAATGTTACAGTTCAACTATATCATTAGAAAATATAATGGGAGATATATTTTTACAAATGACGTGTAAAACCGAACATCCTAATACATAAGGATATTCTCAAGAGATTGGAAAAAAATGATCAGAAAATTGGCGATACTAATACAACTCGTCTGAATCTTCTTTTCAGTTAAGCATCATAATGGATTTTTGGAATCGAGCACTGTGTTATGTTGCTCATGGACAATGGGAAAAATCTTAACAAAACAACAGGAGTTCTTAAAAAGGGGATAATCTCGCAAATATGAATTCCAGGCTTTCGAGAGGAAATCTTTTAATTTTTCTTGCTTTTTACTTACAGGATTTGGTATCCATCATGGCTGTCAAAAAAGAGGGTATGGGGAAACATATTTCTTATAGATTCACCGTGACCTTTAATTGAATTATTTCTTTATGAAATTAACATTATCCCGAAATTCTATTGAACTTTATGTTTATTTAGATACACTTAAATTTATTTTTTTAAAGTATTTATGAATTAAAACAAATTAATGTTCATGTATTGAAGTATAAACATTTCCTATTGCTATTAAATTAGTAAAAAAAAAAATCCATAAACTAATCCATGCAAATATATATACCGGTTGCCACCCAATGCTACAAAATTCAATCTATCCTATTTTTTAGCCATACATAACTAGAGGAGAGAAGATTTAGATTCATACAGGATGCACGTAAGTGAGTGTAATGAACTCGACTTCGAACTCAGATCTCCGATTCCTCAAATCAAGCCGCAATCCATTGTACCGCCGTGACTCTTATGTTTACGTACTACTATGAAAAACAATATAGATATACATTAATATATGTATATTATTTGGAATGCACCTTTTCATTAGGACAATCTAGTCATTCTGATATATGGTGAAGAGGTTGCATCGAGCGAAAACAATTATAAACCATTGCACTAGAAGGACATGCTGGAAAGTATTAGAATGTTCAATAGGAAGGAAATTTATAAATGCCTTCCATATTCTTGAAGAGGATATGATCAGGAAGACATGAAAAAATAGTCAAGTATAGTGATTTTCCAAGCATAGCTTGGATGTGGCACAAGGCCGAAAGTAAGGAGCACCCAGTGAGGATCGAACACACTACTCAGCCGTAATTATTCTAGTGAGACAAGCTTGCTAACCATTACAATACCTCGAGGTGCCCAAATGATTTTCTAAGCGCTGCTTAGATGTGGCACAAGGCTGGAAATATGGAGCACCCAGTGAGGATCGAATTCACTACTTAGTCTTAATATGTTCTAGCGAGACAAGCTTGCTAACCATTACACCACGCCGAGGTGCCCCACCCCCCAATAGTCAAGTATGTCTTAGACGAAGAGAAATAGCAGTGATTGTATTCTACAGTAGAAATCCGATCATATGATTAAATAACTGTTCGGTATCTGCTGTGAGACTCTTAGAACCCGTGTTATATTGAACAAAGGATGAACTAATAATGCGTATCTGAAAGCAACACAGCTGACAACAATGGATAATGCACTATAACCTAAAAAAGATATTGGAAAACTATATAAAAGAGCGAAAATCGCCCAGTTTGTTCCTACATAAGCCAAAAAGGAATGAAAGCAAAAAAAGAAATATGCCTGAATTTAAAAAGAGGTACACTGACAAAGAAGTCTGAACATTTGAATCAGAAAATAAAGCAAATAATTCTACAAGTGTTTGTCCAAAGAAATTAAAGGAAACACATGGATATTGTAACGAACGAAAAAATAGAAAAATTAAAACTAAATATCATACCCAAAATATATAGAGAAAAAAAACTGTTATAAAAGAGAGAGGGTAGAGAGAGAGAGAGAGAGAGATAGAGAGAGAGAGAGACAGAGAGAGAGAGAGAGAGAGATTTACAAAATATCAGTTGAAACGAGGTAAGAAGAACACAAGAATATATAGTTTCATATAAAACAATAGAAAATAAAATGTATGTAGTCCGTGTAGAGGTAGAGAAGAGAGAATTATATATATATATATATATATATATATATATATATATATATAAAGACTTTTTATGTATATACGTTCTTTTTTATAGATACAAATATGTAAGTAAATGCTCTGTTTATAATAAACAGTATTAACAACATTTACCGGCCTGAATATTCGAGAAATTGTCATAGAAAATATGCATTATTTGTTTACATTTAGATACGCATCGAGCAGAGATGAATGTATGTGAGAAAATCATGGAAAATTGTAGTTTAAAAACAGTAAAATCGACCTTGCTAACCGAAACGATCCTCTGTCACAAAATCGGTAAAAGCACGTCAGGCTATATGAGGGTTCCGTTTAAGATACAGGTTCGATTCCTGTCAGAGGACGCATATTTTCTATGACAATTTCTTCAGGCCAGTAAATGTGGTTAATACTGTTTATTATAAACAGAGCATTTACTTAAATATTTTTATCCATAAAAAAAAAAGAAAGAAACGTATAAAACATAAAAAATGTCTTAAAAATAATTGTCGGACTTTGTCTATTTCATAATGCGTGACAATATATATATATATATATATATATATATATATATATATATATATGAATTAAATAAATAAATAGATACAAAAATTCATACTCGCACGTATATAAATTTGCAAATAGTATTTTAATTTTTGGCGTCAACAAAACAGTGATCAGTGTAGTAATACACGGCCATAAACTATATATTAATAAATATGCATTACCTTGCGTCAGAATTAAGCTAATATCTATATTTATTAATATATATATATATATATATATATATATATATATATATATATATATATAATATATATATATATATAGATAGATAGATAGATAGATAGATAGATAGATAGATGAATAGATAAAAAATACACTATTACCTAAAAAGATATTGGAAAAACCCTACCCACTACCAAAACGTAGCAATAACTGATACATTAAAATATGGACATATTGAACACCCAGACACCCCCTGTCAGCAAAATAGATTTATCTGTAACCTTGGAAACATGAATTTTGTTTTTAGCTGTGTATTTAAAACCCAGTAATTTTAAAAGTTACTCCAAAAATTCGCTTGAGGATGAAATGGAACTAATGTCTTCAATTTAATTACAAAATTAAATTCAGGGCTTTTAGCTTCCATTTTTGAAACATAGTTAGAACTGTGTAGCGAAAAAAAACCATATTTTGAATCAATTAATTTTTATATATATATATATATATATATATATATATATATATATATATATATATATATAAAATGCAGAAAATTTCAGCAGAAAAGCGGAAAGAGTAAGTACAAATATATAGACATGACTAGATAGGTAATGTTATTTACTTGAAACTGTGCGAAATCTTTGGTATATGCATAAACCATAATTTTTCGTCGATAATGAAACGCAGAAATTCACTGTGTCTTTAAGATTAAAACGGATCACCCAATCTAGATAAGAAGGAATCATTGCGAAGAAGGCGATAACGAATATCATGACCTTGTAACGCAGCACACTAAAAGAGAAAAATAAATCAAAGAGCTTGGTAAAAATCTTGACCAACCTAAAAGATCTGAAGTTACGATGAAACACGGCGAATACATTTTGGGTAAATCGTTGTTGGAATGCTGGGAATGATCTCGAAAATCATTTTGAAAAAGGCCAGAGGAATTGAAAAAAACCACTGGAAGAATTGTGACCTACTGACGGCGGGTAGAATATTGACTAGATTGCTACAATGCTGAAATAGTTGCTGTCTCTTTATCTTCTCTGTAAATTCAAAAGTTATTACTGCTCCGACAATTGAACGTATAATAATAATAATAATAATAATAATAATAATAATAAATGATCAAAAAGCTATCAAAATACAAGGACCTTAAAATCGAAATCTCAAAAATGTGGCACATAGGAAAATCAGCAATCCCTCTTGTACTTGGAGCCCTTGGATTGATTGGCAAATATTCCAGTAGACTAATTGAAGGGATTCCTGGAAGCCCATGCCTTAAAGAAATACAAAAAAATTGTTCTCACAAGTACAGCCCACATCTTACGAAGGGATTTATCTATGTAAAATGTGTGTATCTGTGTGTGTGTGTGTGTGTGTGTGTGTGTGTGTGTGTGTGTGTGTGTGTGTGTTTTCTAATTGGTCAGTGGAAAATGTCATGATGCCATTTCTAACCTTAGGCCTCTGGTTGGGACCCGGAAAGAAATGTGTTTACACCCAAAATCAAAGCAAATAAAATAATAATAATAATAATAATAATAATGATGATGATGATGATGATTGAATCGTCTCTGATCTCCTGCATTTAAATCTATTTCTCATCTTTTTTATGCGAACCATGAACTATAATATCCAGTTATATAAACATCAAGAGAGATAACATACAGACAAATAAAATATGTGATCTACACAGAGCTAGATTAGACAAATTCTACTGTAGAATTTCTCTAATCTAGCTCTAGCGAATGCAGCAAATAGGAGAAGAAATTATACAAAAATAGGCATGACTGGATAAGAAAGTTGATTTACTAGGAACTGTGCAAGCGATAAATATCTTTTTAAAAACATTTCGGGTTCATCGAAGTGAATAACCTCGTTTGAACAAAGTGTTCGGAAGCAGTCGATGGTTCTGCTAAAACGAAGTCACAATCAGGCAAACTTACATCTAAGTTTACCTGATTTGTTCAACTATTGATCACAACCGTTTATGTTCTCTGTCCTAGAAATTCTAACTGACGACTGCTTAGCATAGCTGTAGTATAAATCACAGGTTGTGTACTTTGAAGAAATAAAAATTTTGCTGATCATGCGTCTGTTGATAATAGTCTATATGTCTGTCTGTATGTCTGAGAGACTCCCGATGATTAAATAACGGGTTCCAGTCGAAATCTCCTTAAGGTGAACTGGATCGAATGACACCGAAACAATGTCGGAAGGCAAACCAGCAGAAATATCATGATAATAAAAAAACGATAATGAGAGCATAAATGAAATAAAGAAATGCTCTGCGATCAGACGACATATTGTCCAAAATTATGCCTGGTTTATTAAATAAATATATGTTATATACCGTACCTATGATCTCAAATGGATATGTCTCAATCTAAATAAATACGTTCGACACTATTGTAAATGGCGGTAATATGATATCTAAGTTGTGCACCACTAGCAGTTGTATACCTACTTCACGCCGCTGGCGAGTATTGCATTTTGTTGATGTTATAAAGATTACTATTTCATTTGCAAATTCCGTTTTGGTTATTTCTCATTCAGTAATACTTTCTAGGTTACAACAATTACTTAGATAGATAGATAGATAGATAGATAGATAGATAGATAGAGAGAGAGAGAGAGAGAGAGAGAGAAAGCGTATTAGATAGATGCAGAGATAGATACATAATAAAGAATGTTACTGTTATATACCATACCAATGAACACAAATGTGTATGTTCCAATCAACCTAAATAAGTTGACAGTATTGTAAGTGGGAATAATATGCAGTATAAGTAGTCCACCACTAGCAGTGGTTTACCTATTTCACGCCGCTGGCGAGTATTGTATTTTGTTGATGTTATAAATATTACCATTTCATTTGCAAATTCCGTTTTGGTTATTTCTCATTCAGTAACACTTTCTAGGTTACAACAATTACTTAGATAGATAGATAGATAGATAGATAGATAGATAGATAGATAGATAGATAGATAGATACAGATATAGATACATAATAAAGAATGTTACTATTATATACCGTACCTATGAACACTAATGAGTATGTCCCAATCTTCATAAATATGTTGACACTATTGTAAGTTGGGATAATATGTTGTATAAGTAGTCCACCACTAGCAGTGGTTTACCTACTTCATGCCGCTGTGAGTATTGTATTTTGTTGATGTTATAAAGATTAGCACTTCATTTCCATCCTCCGTTTTGGTTATTTCTCATTTAGGTTGCAACAATATGAAAGATAAATTTTCCAAGACCTCCGTCCTCATTATGTGTCCTAGGAATTTTAGTTGTCTTTTCCTGATTCTGAGTGGAAGTGTCTTTTCTGTTGCCATTTTCTTTAAGCCTTCCTTGCTGCATACTAGTTCCGTCTATGAAGTTTTCGGTATCCTTCATTTCTATTGTCACTTGTTTTATTGTCATCCGTGGTGAAATTATCCAGCATTCACTATCATATAAGAGGATGAAAAAAAAAAAAGGAATTCCGCACTCTTTTCTATTTTGTTTTAATAATGTTCACCCAATATAAGGCCCACGAGACACTCAAGGTAGATGTTTAGTCTGTAGCATTGTATGAGAGAAAGAAAGGACAACAACTGAACTTATTAGTGGTATGTAGGAAAGAACCCGGATAAATCAAGACTTGAAGAGGTCAGGATGTTAGAAGTATAGTGTAGAAATCACCGGAAATCCAGTCCTAAATAGGAAACAAGGAATAAACTTAAAATACTAGTTAAAAGATAAGGGAGGAGTGTGAACCGGACGTTAATGAACTGTTTTTGTTTCTCAGCAAATTTTTTTTTTTTTAGATTTGAGGATGCGTTTTTCATCAGTTCAATCAATTTTCGGGTCTGTGTGTCGCAGTATCCATCCCCTGTTAAAACACTTCCTGGATATTTAAATTTTTTGGCACCTGCTGGATGTTGATATCTTCAATTTGTAACTGGTATATATTTCTCTTAATGGTGCCCATGATTTCTCGCTTGTAAATGTTGCCAAAATCATTCTTTGGAAGTATGTGTGAGATTTGAGGTTTTCAATTGGAAAAAGAAAAGGTACAAACATAAACAAGAGAAAATTTTCATCCGAAACATCCAATGTTTTATACGATTTTCAATACTAACAGATAGGAAATTTTAGCACAAGACAGACGTATTGATAAACGGATAAACAATATATTCAACTATAACCCATTGAACTCAGAACGCATTACGCTATGGAAGATCACAATCATACCAGTTGTAATTTGTACACATGGTATGGTGATTGATAGAATGGTGACATTCATAAAGAGAACTGGTGTTGTTTGCGCAGTGGGATAGGACAGTCAATGCTGGTTCCTCAGGGAAACCTCTTCAGAACTTAAAGAAATGGTATGTTTCTTAAAGCTGCTAGTTTTCTAACTCCATCCGCTTATTAAGGATCTGTGAATATACGAAAGTTTTATACTTGGTGAATAAAACCAACGCTTTCTTAACCGAAATTCCCAAGCACATATATTGAAAAATTATGTTAAACCGAAATGAAGATTCTGGGATAAATATCCAGAAACAATTTACAATCTTGTATCAGTTTACATGGTATTATCACAGACTCTGTATAAAACTTGATATGCCAAAGTGGCCCAATATCTTCACTGGAAAAACCTTCAACATTTACGGCAAGAAAACTGAAAGAAACTGGTATGAACAAGACCCAAACCCGGTTAAAGACATAGGATCTTAACAGTTTTAGGGGATATTACAATGCAGACAGACAGAAATATTCAAATCTAATAGCCCGGACATCGTGGTCAAAGAACAAAAAAGCAGAATGTGCATTTTTACTCTGATGGATATTTCTTGCAACCGGTAAAGTATCTTTGAAAATCTAAAAAGAACTATCAAAATACAAGGATCTTGAAGTGAAGATTTCAAAAATGTGGCACATAAGGACATCAACAATTCCAGTTGTAGTTGGAACCCTCGGATCGATTGGAAAATGTTCTTATAGACTCATTGAGGGGAATACTAGTAGCCCATGCCTTAAAGAAATAAAAATTGTACAAAACAGCTCACACCTCACGAAGATCTGTAACTATGTAAAATGTGTGTAGTCTCAGGTTGCCTTTTTTAAAATAATTCATTGAAAATGTCATGATGCACTTTTGACCTTAGGTCGCTGCTAAGGACCCACAAGGAAATGGACAAACAACAGAAAACAAAGGAAATAATAATAATAATAATAATAATAATAATTATTATTATTATTATTATTATTATTATTATTATTATTATTATATGTAGATTAATTCTATCTACAAAAATGATCGTTAAAACATAAAATCTACTACTCTCCCCGTCTCAGCTTGTGTGCATATTGATGTTGTTTTACTTATCTTTCTGTAGAAACGACCTCGACAGACAAAAACTTGGTAGTTCAAAGCTATCAAACCTGCTGCTCACATAGCAATTGCCTCGTTAGCCCTCTAAATTAAAATCTAAATGAATCGTTACCTCTCTAAATTAAAATCTAAATGAATTGTTATCCCTCTAAATTGAAATCTAAAAAAAACTCGGTATCTCTCTAAATTAAAATCTAAATGACTCTCATCCCTCTAAATTGAAGTCTAAATGACTCATTATCCTTCTAAATTAAAGTCTAAATGACTCGATATCCGCCTAAATTAAATTCTAGATGACTCCTTACACCATTAAATTAAAATCTAAAGTAGTCCATATTCATCTAAATTTAGATCTAAATGAATTGTTATCCATCTAAATTAAGATCTAAATGACTTGTTACCTCTCTACATTAAAGTCTAAATGACACATTATCCCTCTAAACTAAAATCTAAATGACTCGTTATCCCTCTTAATTAAAGTCTAAATGACTCGATATCCCGCAAATTAAATTCTAAATGACTCCTTACACCATTAAATTAAAATCTAAATGACTCATTATCCCTCTAAATTGAAGTCTAAATGACTGGTTATCCCTCTAAATTGAAGTCTAAATGACTCGATATCCCACAAATTAAATTCTAAATGACTCCTTACATCATTAAATTAAAATCTAAATGACTCGTTATTCCTCTAAATTAAAATGTAAGTGACCTTTTATCCACCAAAATTAAAAAATAAATGAACGAAATCCAATCCAATAAAGTGTAAACCTTGTACAAACTAAATCGTCTTAACGCTTTGATTTTCCCTCTTTCTTTTCTTCAGTTTCTATTCAGGATGTTTGATCCTTTTTCGTATGTATTCATTTTTTATCGTTTTTTCCCCATATTCTTCATTTCCTTTTCTTTTCCTTCCTTTTATCGACTGTATTAAACGAACATTATTTCTTCTTTAAATCCTACCACAACACTATTATTCTCTTTTACCTCATCTTGGACTCTATATCTATCTTTGTCGTTTTATATTTCTCCACACCTAACTTCAAAATAGCCGCTCCCATATGAAAATAAGGTAGATTCATTTCGGCAATTAGATTTCTCGTTCCACGGTGTTATTGTACATCTCATTCAGCCAATAATGAATTAATAATTGCCAGGTTTTCAGGTGTGCCGTTCACGATTTCAGTCCTTACATTGTTTTCGCACACTTATGTTTGCTTCTGTATTGTAGCCAACTCCATGAATGTGTATGTACGCGCACGCGCGTGTATATGTGTGCGTGGGTGTGTTTGTGTGGGTGCGTATGTAGGTGCAGCAATATAACCTTGGCTGTTCATCCGTTGGCATATTATCTTAAGCCACCTGAGAAAAGACAAAATGCATGTGTTTACTTTTGTTGTCTATTTGCAGTATCTCGGCCTCAAAGATTTATTTGTATCTTGGTTGAAGATTTTCATATATATATATATATATATATATATATATATATATATATAGATAGATAGATAGATAGATAGAAAAAGAGATATAGGAGTGTTTTATTTTACAAACACGGTCAGCACATTGTGGCCGTGTTCATTGCTGATATTATTGCGTGTGGGCTTTTTTTGCTGATAATGGTTCCATTATTTTTTTATCCTTTTTTTTTACGTGTGGATGAGGATAATATATTTGGATTGCTGACAAGTATGTTGCAGATGAAGTTAGGTAGGTCTCCCTGTGTATTTAAATGACACCTAATTGAGATATCGTCAGAGAGATGTAACGTGAGGTTTCCTGCTAGGCATGTTGTAGTATGTCCAATATAATTATTCATGAATTTAGTTTCATCCTAATTCGAGAGATCTAAAACCTTCAGGATTCAGGAATCAGGGCAACACCTACTTAATTACTGCGATAGTCGAAAGCACGTGAACAAAGCAAAAAATAAACTTCAGACAGTCAATTCATAATTTCAGCCACCATATGCAAAAACTGATTCGGAAACTGGAAAATATAATTAAAAAATGTTTAATATTTCGGATTGAAATTTGATAAATACTTTTAATGACAAATCCAGTTCTGATATTAGTTGTCCATAGTAAAAACGAATAAAAATGGCCATACTTTGAGTGTGACTGATTAGAGAAATTCCATGCTCACCACTCCATGTGAGTCATAGGGATGGGAGCAGAGTCATGTTGCAATACATCAGGCGCCCTTCTTGATGCAGGCATTGACCCTTATCCGGTAACTCGATGTAGGTGGTAGAATTGATTCGGAAGTTACGTGGGAAAAGAAACGTTT